CGATTTGGGCGAGTGAGGAGTTGTCAATTCCTAATAGCGCTATCCATAATGACCATTGGCTCAAAGACTTAATGGTTAGAGATAAGGGAAGGGCCTTAGTACGATAAGTTCTCATGTTCCGTGTTGCATAGACATACATAAAGAAACATAGCAATACAATAGCAATTATGTTTGATAATAATCAATTTAAATACAACATGCAAACAGTAGTTTTTCTGGACATGCTTTTCCACCCCAAAACCTAAAAACCGAAAATAGGGTAGTGCGTGAATACTCACGATGTTTCGTGTAGGCACAAGCGGTACTTCGGGATGCACCAACGTCTTACTATCGGGATCCTACGACATCAAACACACACACTAGTGAGTTTCCATGTCGAAATCTAATGCTAATATACTAAACTCTACATATAGGGAAATGCCAATTTATGTTTTAGTATTGGATTTTATATCAATTGGTTACACTTTTGCTGAAATATTGAAATTTTACAAGTCGTACGATTAATTACAACCTTGGAAGATTAATTTTCCAAATTTTAAGTCTCTATAACAACATAAATTCACGAAAAATAGCATTCGATGGATAAAAATTCTCAAACTTTTTATTTAACTGTTATTACACAATACTAAGCTAGGAAAAATATAAAAATCGATTTCCAAGTTGTTTAATTATATTTTATGATTTATGGGCATTTATTCCAATAAAAATTGAAATAAATAGAAAACTGTTTCCAAAATTACCCAAACTTTTATTTAATTGTTATTATACATAACTAGGCTGGGAAAAATATAAAAGATATTTTTCAGTGAGTATTTCTATTTTTCCTTGTTTTATTCCTTTAAATAGTCATAAATTAGAGAAATAATATTAAACAGTTAAAATAAGTCACCATAAATTTTTGTAACATCATTTACAGTATGAATAACCTGGGAAAAATATCAAAAATGGTTTTCATAATGTATAAACTGGTTTTGGGTATTTATGTGTATTTAAGTGTATTTTAGTGCAATTAACTTTAGAAAATAAGAGAAAAAAATAGTTTACAGCAGAGAAAAATCCTCAAAAATTTTATGTAACCTCCTACTGTACAATATGATATCCTAGTAATTTTTCATGAATTTTGGATAATCAGAACTATTTTTCCCATTTTTAGACCATTATAATTACCAAAAATTGGGAAAAATAGTTAGACATGAAAAATCTTGAAATTATTTTCTGGAGTTACCATTCACCGGTAAGGTATGTGAAAATTGTTAGATACAATTTTCACATTCAGTAAAGCGGTTTTGTGATTTATTATGCCCTAAACAAAAGAAAATCGGAAATCGTATTAAATAGTAATAAAAATGGATGAAATTTGGTGAGGGGTCATTACTCTCCATAGGGATAATCCATTAATTTACTCAGGAAATTTTATGTGATTTATGCCATTGGTTTTAGCAATAATTTTAATAAATCAAGGGAATAATAAAAGCTCTTGAAATTTTCCAGATTATCTCATGCATGTGAGGGCTTTCAAAAGGAAAAATGTTAAAAATGTATTCAGAAGAGAAATGAGGGTAATGAATCTAAAGAAATTAAGAAAGGTTGCATGCAATGATGCATGAAATGTAGATGTGGCTGAAGTTCATGAATTTGTGTAGCCCATTCAGTGAGGTTTTAAGCCACTAAATTTCAGCCATCATTCACTAGATATGTTAAGTTTCTAAGGTATTTTTCCTCAGATTTATGGTTGGGTTTAAGGCCATTGATCATGCAAGACAAAAATAGTGATCACAGAAAAAGAGCTGTATGCGCAACCATTTTGTAAAAATTGCCAAAAATCGGATATTTAATATTTTACAGTGATACCAGTTGGGTTTGAAAGATAACTCGTGGAACTATCCAATACTAAAAAAATATCATGATTTGGTTAAGAAATCACCGAGTTATGGCCGTTCAAAGTCGAACAAAGTAATCTGGCAGATTGCATGTTTGTTTTTGTGCATTATTAGGGTATTTTGACAAGAACATCATGCATGCCTTTGGTAAGATCCAATTTCTAACACATGAATAGAGTGAATGAGTATCCAAGATGTACTAGAAATGGTTTAAATGCTTTTGGTCATGTAATAACACAAAAGAAATGGAGAAGAAGATGAAATATTCGGTTTTGATGTCACATGATCATATGTGCATCTTTTCACTCCTTGCATGGGTTTGATCCCGGATTTTCACCATCTCAAACACATGCATTGTGTTATGGTGAGAATATACAAACCACAAGGGAAAAATATATATTTCTAGCCATGGAAAGGCATAGAATCCGAAAGGAAGAGAAAACTAAGAAGGAAAGGAAGTAGAATCATGAAACTATGGAAGAAGATGATGTTGTTTACCTTGGTTATGATCTTGCGGGAAGTAAGAACACTTCAAGGTCTTCTAAATCTCGAAATTTGGTGGAGGAATGGGGAGAATTTCGTGAGTTAGAGAGAGAGGAAGAGAGTTTGTGTGTGTTAAGAGGGTGGAGTGTGAGAGAGTGAAGAGAGAAGAGGTGGAGTGAGGGAATGAGTTTAATCATTGAAGTTTTTGCGAAGAAGGAGCATGGGGAGGGGAGAATGGCTAGATTTTTGAGGCATTAAAGCCTCCTCTCTCCTCAATTCAAATTTTATAAAAAATCCCTCAATTTTATAAAAATCTAATTTTTATAAAAGTTATTCTTTAAGCAATTTTTGATTTATTTAAAAATCTTGTTTTTAACTAATAAATTATGATTAATGCATGATAATTTATATTTCTATTTCATTGGTATAATCCATAATTTGTCTAATAAAGATTTGATATTAGAAAGTTTATAGCCAAATTTTATAAAGTTTTTATGCTTTATAATTTATAAGTTTGGATTTTTGGCTCTTTAGGGTTTTTGGAATATTGTTTGATGTTCATCAACATGTTGAAGTATAATTAGAATGTTTTCATTTATTTTTAGGGTTTTATACCCTATTTCAATTATAACAAAGCTTGAAGCTTTATTCTAATTATAGTATTGGCGTTTCCTATTGTAGCTAAGCAACTTACTAGAATTGTAAGTATCAAGTATATTAGTCCTAGACCTTAGTTGGATCCTAGTTTATGCAAGATTTTGACCTAATTTATACTACTAGGCCATGGCATGTTGTGCATGAATGGTTTTTATAAAGATGCATGAGTCCGAAAATGACCTGAATTGACAGTTGTCACAGTATAAAAATTATGCACAAAGTAGACTCATTTTGTACGCTTTGAGAGTTTACGGATCATAATTCTGACTTACGATGATTTTTCTATAATATATCTAAAAACATGGACATAATTGTCCATTTGATAAACCTTATTGTTTGGTCTCTCAAATATATACTCAAAGATTTGTAGTAGATAAGAAAAACACAACTTATGATATTTTTTAATTCACACACTCTAGGATCACAAAAATGTTAATGATAACAATTGTTTCTAATATGATCATGTTGAAAGCCTTATGGCATAAAATGATTTGAAACATGTTGGTTATGGTCACTCATAACCGGAGTGTTGTATAAACTTTGTTTGGGCACTTACGGCCGGGGTGCTATCTAAATATTTTTATGGTCACTTACAATCGAAGTACTGTCTAAACATTGTTATGGTCACTTATAGTCAGAGTACTATTTAAACATTTTTATGGTCACTTACAGTCGGGGTACTATCTAAACATTGTTATAGTCACTTACAATAAAAAAACTATCTAACATTGATATGGCCACTTACAGTCGGAGTACTATCTAAACATTTGTATGGACACTTACAGCGATGTGCTGTTTAAACTCGTGTAAAGGCACTTACAACCGACGTGTTGTTTAAACTCGTAGAGGGACACATTGGAACATTGTCATGTTAAAACTTTGGTAGCTTTAAATTATTAAGCATTGCAACCAAAAGTTTTCGAACACAAAAAATTGGGAATTATAACAAATTCCAGGATACAAAAATACTAATACAAACTAGGATGAGGTTGTATGTAGTATAAATATTGTTTGTAGATCGTTAAATTGATTAGTACTATTTATTTATATAAATACCAATATTTTTCTTCACAAAAACACATTAATATATACTTTTACCTTAAGTATTTTAACATGGATACTCGTATTGGATTTCAAGTATCAGGTCTCACACGAAGCATATCGGTAATATTGATCACCATGTTTTACATAACTTATTCTATAAAGCATTCCACGTTTTATAAAGATTTCTTTTTATAAAACTCACGAAGTCAAAACCTATGGAACTCACCAACACTTTTTGTTGGTGTATTTTTAGGTAACTAAGGAGCCGGAGGTAGGACATCGGTTATAAGGAAATTATAGTTCGTTCCTTTTGTGAATAAACTTAAACTATTTAAAATTTACCGTTGTGTGCTTAAATTATGAAGTTGTATTTTCAATTAAAAAACGTAAAGGTTTGTAATAACTTGATTCAAATATGTTAAGTGTTCGATATATGTGATTGATTGTGATCCAATTGTATAACATCGCCAACCCGGTAATTTTTGCTGTCGGTCGAGGTGTAACAGAATGGTATCAAAGTTAACAACTATAGAGACCTTTGTATTCTCTTTTTTAAGAAAAATACAACTATAGTCTAGGGCTTACTCTAGTAGGTTCAGGAATACCCTTATGCTTCAACACTTAAAAGTTAAGTATCTAATAAACTTAAACACGTGGATTTTGATCAAATACTCAATTAGGTTTCATATAACATGGGTTATACCATAGCTAAACCTAGTTGTTCACCTAAGTTTTATTTTGGTCGGGCCTTATGCATTATCTAACTTAAGCGAAGTAGTTGACAAGATAAAATATTGGCATTTTAGAAGTAAAGTATGATCACAAGTCAATGAGAGTCGATAGGTCATTCTTTTATTTATATGCGTAAGTTTTGTGTAACATATTAGAAATACTATGTAATTCTTAGTTTAGATGAATGATTTATGGCGAAAAAACATGCCACCAGTAGACAAGCCTATGTTTATTGCGTTACCTAGAGATCGTTATTTCCCAGACTATGCATCCATATACCAACCCATTCCTCCAGCTGAACATGCATCGATGCAATCTGATGAATTCAAGCCTGGAGAAGATCCAAAGGAGGATCCGGAAGAGGAAATGGTAGAGGAACTTGAGGAGGATCCCGAAAAAGATATGGATGAAGATGAGGTGATAATGATAACCGATTCAGAGTCATCTGCTTCAATTCCACCTACTCCCACCCACTCTTTCCTTGGATTTTCACTCCGCCGTACTAGAAAGACTGTTAGGATTTCAGTCTCAAAATCTACTACTATAAAGTATAACTTGAGTTCCTATCTCACTAAAAAGGCAATGGACCCATCCGTTTTGGAAAGCAACCAAGGGAACCTAAGGACAGATGAGACGCGGGCTGCAAGAACATTTGAAGAAGGACAGGCATCAGGGGTTGCGACCCCATCTGACATAGACATTAACAATTTGTCCTTCCTACTTGACCAGAACACCTGATTGCATGGACAAATGTGAAACGCCGATGATGAATTAAGCAATCAGCAAGGCCAGTCAGAGAAAACAAAGGGAAAATGGCCTGAATGAATCAATGACAAGAGCAATATCAGATATTGCAAGACAATCTCCATTAAATAATGGACTACCACAATACCAATTGGAAGAATTACAGTCTGAGAGTAACCAGTGTGGAAGCTCATAACCAAATTTCCCTTTCAGTGGCGTACGGAGTTGCGGAGAGTCGTGATGTACTAGATGGAAAACACAAAACACTAGAGGAAAATACATGCAATACTAGAAGGAAAATATGATAACATGTCCCACAAGGTGGCCAAGTTTTTGAGTTTTTATTAAACTAATTAGTTGAGTTTTTGAGAAACTTGCAAATTTTGGTGACAAACTCTTCAGATATGTATTAGGATATGTAAGCATATGTAAACTTTATTTGATTATTAGTATGTCTGTGTACCACTAATCGTAAGTCTTTACATTTTGAGAATGGTAAGGACTAATGTACTTGGATGTTAATGTTTAATATAATGAAGCATATGTTATTAAGTTTAAAAAATCTTTTTAAACTAATATATGAATTGTGATCATGAATAATAACATTATGAGAGAACTAACAAAAACATCACAAACTTTACCTCTACTGCTAATAGAAATAGGAAATCAAAATGCCTCCAAGAAGGAACACCAAATCAAACCCCAAAGTAACACCAACTACCGAACCAACTACAGGATGAACCCGGAGAGGTCGACCAACCAGAAATCCAGTCATGATTCCATTAACTAAAACGCCAACTTCTAGCACTCCAATTCCACTACCTCCCGAATCAGGACTTCCTCAAACTACAACAAAATTGGAACAACTTGTTTCAGGACACATTACAATTGTAATAGCAATTGCAAGGGGTTTAAATGATGGAAGGTAAGTCATGGAAGTGAATGGACTAGGAAATGATGCTGGAAGCACTCTATAATCTCATCCAGAAGAGCCTAGAAGAACTTGTTCTTACAAGGACTTCATGAATTGCAAGCCAAGAAACTTTTATGGAAACGAAGGCGTTGTAGGTTTAACTCGTTGGTTTGAAAAAGTTGAAGTTGTTTTTAACATATGCTATTGCTCTAAGGGTTGCAATGTACGTTTTGTTGCATGCACCTTGATGGATGGAGCTCTAACATGGTGGACTGACCATGTAAAAACCATTGTTGTCTCGGTGGCTAACTCAATGTCATGGGAGAACATGAAAGAACTTCTAATAGAGGAATATTACCCCCGAGAAGAAGTACGGATCCTAGAACATGAGCTTTGGAGCCTAAAGATGAAAGGTCTTGATGTCAAGCCTTACACGAGAAGGTTTAATGACCTTTCACTCCTCTGTTTGGGCATACTAAAACCAGAATGCAAGGAATTGAACCGTTATATATGGGTTATGGCTTCACAAATAAAAGGGATGGTACTTTCATCAAAACCTACCACATATCTTAGTGTTAAGCATCTAGCTATGCAATTGATAAAGTACAAAATCGAAAATGGTGTAATGGTAGAGAAAAAATTGAAACTCCTAAAGTTAACAACAACAACCACAAGTGCAAGTCCAATGGAGCGAACCGGAACCAACAGAAAAAACATCAAAATGAAAAGATCTATGCTATGGTACCAGCCTCAGTTCCAATACAAGAAGTTCCAATCTAACAAATGGGTTATGTTGGGAATATGCCCTTATGCACTCAATGCAACTGACAGCACAAGGAAGAATGTTTCCATTATGCCAAATGCATCAAGAAAGGTCATACAACAAACTTTTGTCGAGGAATGGAAGTAGTTTTTAAATTACCAGGAAGGGGTAATGGATTGGGTTTTGGTGGAGGAGAAGCTTGTTTTAAATGTGGAGAAAAAGGGCACATCAAACAAAATTTCCCAAAGTTGAAGAAGAGTGATGGGAATGCTCGTAGTCGGGCTTTTGTGATAGGGAACAAAGATGCTATACAAGGTCCCGCGGTGGTTACTGGTATGTTCCTTATTAGTAACTTATATACTATAATTCTAGTTGACTCCAGTGTTGATAGAAGTTTTATAACCCCATTGTTTAAACAACTATTAAATCATAGTAAATTAGACGTAGAATATAAGGTAGAAGTAGCAAATGGTTAGATAGAAAACACAACAACAATCTTACGAAATTGCCTCCTAGCTTTAAACAACCATACATTCTATGTCAACTTAATGCCAACGAATATTGGTAGTTTCGACATCATTATCAGTATGGATTGGTTGTTTCTGCATAGTGCTGAAATTCTCTGTTTCAAAAAGGCTATACTACTAACTCTACCTAACGGGGAGACAATGATAAACTACGGTGACAAGTCAGGTTAAAACATGAAGCTTATTTCTTGCACTAAGGCTCAAAAATATATACACAAGAAGTATTACACCTTCTTAGTGCACATAGTAGATAAGAATAGCAAGACGAAAGAAATCAAAGACATACCCCATATATGTGACTATCCTGATGTGTTTCCTGAAGGAACTGCATGTAGTTATTTGTACGTTTCATATCAACAACATTTAGGATTAGGTATTAATTGATACTAGAACCGATAAAAGCTTTATCAACTATAGGTTTCGAAACATGACAACAACATAAATTATGCAACTTACACAGTAGATATGGTAATCAACCAAAGAGAAATCACTTTAGAAATACTCACTAATTGCCTTCTCACCCTCAATAGTCAAGTCATTCATTTAGAAACTAAGGACCCGTGCTGGTAATCTATAATTGCTAACTATATATGTTAGGGTTGTATATAATTAACATTCTATAGACTTAGGATTTGTGACTCCGCTTTACTTCCTGTTCCTAATTTGGTTGTGGGATTAAGGTAGAATCACTTATTCGACCATCTAATCAATCTTGATTATTTACGACATGTATGCACAAGGCGATTTTATAAGACCAGACAGGGATCATGTATCACGAAAATGCATTACTATTTATCGAATCCCCGTGTATTAGTGTAATGTCCCAAAATTTAGAGCCAAAATTTTCAGTTTTAAATAAGTAGTTAAAAAACCAGTGGTCTGAAACATCAATAGTACCAACTATTATCATAATCAAAACCAAGATGACAAATAAGCCAAACATGTCATAGAAAAGTAATATCATAGTAAAATTCCCAAAGTATCATAATGCAGAAAATCATAGTGTGATGCGATGCAATTATGCTGGCTCCTTTCCTTTAGAAAAAGAAGAACTTGAAACCAAAACTCAAAACTGTAAGAATGAAGCTTAGTGAGTCCCCTCCCCCCCAATCATACCACATAAAAGAATACTATAAGGTATTTCTAGGTGCCCGACTTACGCCTTTGGTTTATTTCAATCAGATATTTCCGAGCATATCATGGTGCTCGACCTAACGCTTCGGCCGATTCCGAATGGATACTTCCGACCATATCTGGGTGCTCAACCATCCCTTTTGGTCAACTTCCACCAGACACTGTCGAGCATATGTGGGTGCTCAACCTACCTTTCGGTCTATTCCAACCGGTTACAACCACTACCATATAATAGCATAAAAACACATAAATCACAACAGATAGTGCATACCAGACAATTATCACAAAGACAATCATATTACCAAAAACAAAAAACAAGTAGGCCGGCATTGGCGCGTTCGACCCATTGATACAAGGAAGGTAAATCACCTCGAACATATGAAAGTAGTTGAACAGTCCTCGGCTCCGAAAATCAACCCAACTCAATCCCTAAACATGAAAGATATCCTTAATTAACAATTCATACTTATAACCCCTTAAGGGTCAACTTGGTCAAAGTCAAAGTCAAAGTCAACACCAAGGTTAAGGTCAAAGCAACACTCCAAGTTGGCTCAACTCGTCGAGTTACTCTTCAACTCGGCGAGTTACCATAAATCACAGAATTGTGATATTACAAATCAACTCGTCGAGTTTCCCTTTAACTCGTTAAGGTTCTCCTTTACAATAGAATTGTGACACTCCCAAACCAACTCGTCGAGTTCTCTAATGAACTCGTCGAGTTCGTCATTCTAGCAACCCAGCCTAATAATCCAGACATAGGCTGAAAATGCCTCAAGAAAGGTAAAGTTTCCAATTTTACCCATTAATCCCCTCCATAAAAGAAATAACCTCAAACCCTAATCCAAAAAGGCTATGACATTACCCCAAAAATCATAATATCTTCAAGACAAAGATCATGCACATAGATATAGACCTTAATGGATTTAAGGTCACGTAAAGTCTCCAACTTCACTTACATGCATGGCCAAAAGAGGCTTAAAAGGCCAAAAAATATCCTAGGGGTTGCATGGGGCTCCTAGGGCCACAAAGTTGGCATCTTTATGCCATAACTACCCAGGTTTGACCTTAGTATTCAACCTTTAAATACTTATGCTCCGTTCTTCTTGTAATACTTGTTCTTGTATGTATATAAGTATAAGCAAGTAGGTATATTTTTATAGTTGTATATCATTTATCAGTTGATATACTTAGTTCACTATAAAGAATTCTCTGATACCAATCTGTGACACCCCAAAACCGAAACACCGTAAACGTTTGGGGGTGGAGGACGTCATGTTTAGTATCACAAGACACACATCATAGTAATCAAAGTAAATAAACAACCATTTCATTAGAAAGAAAGTGTTCACAAAGTGTGTCTTCACAAAACATAGAATACATCAGCAATTAACAAAACAAGACTTGAAGCTATATTGCTCCTTCTTCTGAATTCCCAACACGAGTACCTGTCTACTAGTTTCCTGAGAATATAAGTTATTTGAAAGAGTTTATCAGCAATTAAGCTGGTGAGTTGATAAGATTTTAGTGATGTAATTATGTTGTAGAAAGTTTTTATAGTTGTATATCATTTATCAGTTGATATACTTAGTTCACTATAAAGAATTCTCTGATACCAATCTGTGACACCCCAAAACCAAAACACCGTAAACGTTTGGGG